CCCAGCTGACTAACTCCATTATAGACAACCTTTGAGGATCCCTCCCAGATGCCCCAGACAGAACAGGCACTGGGTGTCTGTCCTTCCCGCTGTGTTTGTATGATGCATTCTGGGTCTGTGATGGGCGACATGGATTAATTCTTTAGAAACCCCTCCCTGTCTTCCACCCAACATGAACTGGAAGATGGACCAAGCTTGAGTCTAGGAATTGGACAACCAGCGACAGCAAATGAGAAGGAGCTGCAGTATAGTACAACACAGGAAGCTTTATTTTTCAATCTGCTGCTGCTCCACAGAGAGGCTGGGAGGGTCACTCATTTAAATATGCTGTCCTCTTGGGCTGGAAGGTTAGAAGAAAACCACAAGTTACTACACTCAGGAAACCTAAAAAGTTCACTTCAGCTTCCCAGTTTTTTGTTTTTTGAGACAGAGTCTTGCTCTGTCACCCAGGCTGGAGTGCAATTGTGAGATCTCGACTCACTGCAACCTCTACCTCCCAGATTCAAGCCATTCTCCCGCCTCAGCCTCCTGAGTAGCTGGGATTATAGGTACCCGCCATTATGCATGGCTAGGTTTTTTTTTTTTAGACAGAGTTTCGCTTTGCTGCCCAGGCTGGAGTGCAGTGGCATGATCTCAGCTCACTGCAACCTCTACCTCCCAGGTTCAAGCAATTTCTCATGGCTCAGCCTCCTGAGTAGCTGGAATTACAAGCGCCCACCACCACATCTAGCTGATTTTTTGTGTTTTAGTACAGATGGGGTTTCACCATCTTGCCCAGGCTAATCTTGAACTCCTGAGCTCAGGCAATCTGCCTGTCTCGGCCTTCCAAAGTGCTAGGATTACCGGTGTGAGCAACCGGCGCCCAGCCATGCCCAGTTAATTTTTGTAAAGATGGGGTTTCACCATGTTGGTCAGGCTGGTCTTGAACTCCTGACCTAAGGTGATCCGCCCACCTCAGCCTCCCAAAGTGCTGGGATTACAGTCGTGAGCCACCTTGCCCGGCCAGCTCCTCCATTTTAGAACAATCCATATCTACTTAGCTCCGCTTAAATGTTCTCCTCCATTTTCCCTAACCCTGCACAAACCTGAGAGGGACAATGTATAAGAGCCAGTGTCATGCGTACCTTCTGCCAATTCTTTGGCAATCCGTTTCAGTTCATCCTGCTTCTTCTTCTCCTCTGCCGCTATCCTCCTCTCCTCTTCTGCCCGAGGTTTTAGGTATCCTGTTTCAGGGAATGAACTTCACTGGAAGTGCTGCTTGAAAAGAACTGAGTCCACACAGGTCATGGTATCTTCAGCGACGCTGTGAACCAGACGCATCTGCTGCCCCTCTCTTTATGTCAATGGGGTCAAGGCTTGACCTTCAGCCTAAAGAGTCCAACCCAGAGGCTACAGGGTCCCTGCTGCCCCTCCCCTCACGAACTGGCTCCTTTGTCCTCTGCAAACAGGGACTGCCTCCCGCCAGACCTCAGCACTCCAACACCCACTCAGCACCCGTTTTCACCAAGAAGCAGCCGTTTTCGAGTCCCCTGCCCGGGCCTTAGAAGTCTGAGCTTTGAGTGAGCTGATTCCCAGTCACTCCGACCTCCCCGCCGCGCTCTCGGGGCCACGCTCGGTGGACACGGTCCTGCATCCTCGCATCCGTCCCAGCCCCGCTTCCAGAGCCGGAGTTCACCGAACGGCACAGGAGCTCCCCAGGAAAGCCGAGTAGACCCCGCCCCGGCCCCGCCCGCGGTCACTCACTGTAGCGCGTGGCTCCGTAGGCCATGCCGAGGAACAAGAAGGAGTAGCGGCCGAGCTGCGAGACAGGACAGTCAGAGGCGGCGGGGGACCGGGCTCGCGGGGCAGGGGTCGCGGGAGTAGACGGGGTGGGGTCGCGAGGTAGAGATCGCAGGAGGTGTGGGGGTAGGGTCGCCAGGTGGGGATCATGGGAGGGGAGGGGATCGAGGGTCGCAGCCCGCAGGGTCGGAGCTGTGGGGAGGGACACGAGGGGGCCAAGGCACTGGTCGGCGGCTGCGAAGCCTGAATCACCTTGATGAGCGGAGAGACCTGCACCGGCGGCACCATCTTGTCCGTGACCTTCGCACCGGAAGCACAACCCGCAGACCGAGGAGGACGCCACACAAGCCCTCAAAGCCGCTGAGGCAAAGGCGAGCTGGGCGGACGCATGCGCTGTTAGCTGCGAGCGAGCGGAGGCGGGGAGCGCCCCTGGCGGCCGGAGGGTGACTGAGTCCGCCAGCGCGGCGGTGACGTCACATGGAGCGCAAGCGCACACGAGCTGGGGTGCGCGGATGACCTCCGGTTGCGCCTGCGCAGTCGCTGCATGCGGCGGGCTCTGCGCGGAGTGGGCGGGGGGTTCACAGCCGAGACCGCGGACCCGCGCGTGCTCTGCCCTCCTGCGCGGGGCGTCCGGGGCCTGAAATCGGGGCGGCTCGGGCGGACCCAGCCCCGCGGCCCGCGACCCCCTGAGGGCGGCCTGGGCCGGGAGCCGAGTGTGAGCCGAGCGCCGGCGGCTCCCGGGCAGGTCCCTTCCCGGGCAGGGCAGTGGCCTCTGGCCGGCGTCTGTCGCCGGCCAGGCCGCGGGAGCACGGCCTCCAGGCCCCTTTCCTGTGGCTGCTCTGCCTGGGAGCCCCGGGCCACCCGCCCGTCCCCGCGGACCCCCCGTCACTTCCGTCCCGAGGAGGGGCTGGGGAAGACGCCGGGACTGGAAGACCAGCCCCCCGAGGCCTGGGGACCACCGAGCCCACTCTGGTCCCTGCTGGCCCCCGTCCGCGCCCCAGGCAGCTCCCCCTGTGCCCGAGGTGCTGACCCGCCAGCCCGGTGGACACCAGGCCTGCAGTCGGCGGGGAGCCTTGCCGCTGCCACGTCCTGGGTCTTCCTGGCGGCAGCCGTGCCTCTCGTGCCGGGCCACCCACGGCCCCCTTTGGCAGTGAGGCAAGGCCTCCTGTGTCCCAGTCTCCCGGCCCTGCACGGCGGCAGGCAGAAGCAACCGGAGAACCATGGCTGGGGCCCCGCTAAGGCGAAGCATCTCAAACTCCAGGTCCTCCCCCGCATGGGGAGGCGTTCTGAGCCGCCTCTGGCCTCTCCTGGCTTGCTCCGGGGTCCAGGCTCTGGGCCTCTTTGGCTGAGAAACCGGGAAATCACTGGGCTGTTTCCTGGGCTGGGGATACCGAGGCCGATCCTGTAGGGCCGCGGACCGGTAGCGGTTTGTGGCCGGTTAGGAACCGGGCCGCACAGCACGAGGTAAGGACAGAGGAGGTAGCGAGGCCGCCGAGCCCGGCCACTGCCAGATCAGCCTCCGCATTAGATTCCCATAGGAGCAGGAACCCTATTGCGAACTGCGCACTCCAGGGATCTGGGTCGCGCGCTCTTTATGAGAATATAATGCCTGGTGAAATGAGGTGGAACAGTTTCATCCCAAAACCTTCCCCATACCCTCCCACACACGGAAAAATTGTCCTCCATGAAACGGTCCCAGGTTGGGGACCTTTTTGGGGCCACTCGATCTTTTCTCCAGCTTCTGTGAGGTGCCCTGGAGCCCCTGAAGACTCCTGCCTGAGGCCTCTGCCTGAGCCTTGTCCTCAGGGGGCCAGAAGCAAACCCCAGCGCCTCCCACTGCTCACTGAGGAAGGCGCAGGTGCGCTGGATCCACAAGGCACAGAACCATCCTGGCCCCATAAAGCCTTTGGCTGGGGCAGACGCCCTCAGGGGACAATGGGTTTTCCCTTCACTGGATTTTAAAATAAACTAGACTCCTCAGCAACTCCTGCTTCCAGAATCAAAAATAAGTGTCTCTGGGGCCCAAGGTTGGGGGTGAGGGAGACATACCAGCAGCTGCCACTGGCGGCGGGGCGGGGTAGGGCACACACACTGCCCAGGGAAGACCCTTTGAAGTCGATGGAGCCTGCCTTTGCTCAGGGCCCTTTCCGGGGCTTAGTGGGGGCAGGGGTCCCACCTGGCTCAGGACACCGCCCACCGGGGCCTCTGCAGCTGTCTGGTCAGCTGTCAGTGCAGAAGCCGATACTCCCCTGGCTCAGGCTCTGCTGCTATCTTTAGCGATGTGCTCAGACTCCAGTGGCCTGGGACCCCTCTGCAGGGGGCTCTGCAGCCCTTCTCACATTCCCGGTGGCTTCGGGGTGGGAGGAGGCTCCCAACCATGCTTCCTCCTTGGGTGTGGTTCTCCCCACTCTTGCAGCCCAGCAGTGCCCCTCGGGGTCACACCCAGACCTCACTGGACTGGGAGCAGGGGATGCCAAGGCCCTTGCTCCCAGCTCCAGGTTCCCAAACCTGGTCACACATTTGCCCCTTGCAGGCTGCCCCAGCTTCCTCCTGGGTGGCTTATGCCTCCCAGGGTCCTCGACCTCAGCCGTCTGTGCTGCATGAGGCCGCTGGCCCTGGGGATGGAGCCCCAGCACCTCAGGGGACGCCGACTGTGAATGCGTCCCTCGGGGGTAGGACCTCCACGCAGGACTGCAAGAGGCACCTGTCTTAGCTTTGCAGACATGGTGGCGCCCCCAGGGCCCCCACCTGGCTGCTGTGGCTGCACACACTCACTCCCACCCCCGCCCCTGCAGCCCAAAGAGGCAGCTGCCCTGGGTCCTACTGCCTGCTGCCTCCCACCCAGATGCAGGCGGAGGGGCTCTGAGAGCTTGCTATCTGCTCAGCCTGCAGGCCTCCTCCTCGATTCTGCTTGGCCTGCCGACCCCCCTCCCACCCCTTGGACCAGGGCATCTGGATTCTGACCCTGAGGTGCCCTCCAACGTCCGGTACCACCAACAGACCCCGGGCCAGGTCCCTCCCCCAGACTCTGCCCCTGAGGCCATGTTATAGGGGGAAGAGCAGACTCAGGGTCCTGGCGGCCCCATCCTGGCCCGTCTGAGCAGCCTGGCCATCTTCAGGGTCCCAGAAATGTCAGCACCCATGGGCCAGGCAAGGAGCTCCCAGCCATGAGGTCAGAAGAAGTGGTCTCAGGGCCAAGGCTATGGACTGATTTCTCTGTCACGGAGGCAGGGAGAGGCGTGGACCCCCGACACACCGTGTGCTTGGCATAAGCCTGGTGACCAGCTGCAGTCGCCCACAGCAACTTTGTGCAAATCTAGAAAAGATGCCCCTTCCTCTGGCTCCTGCAGTTTCAGGGTGCCCAGGCTGCCAGCCAAGAGCATGTGCAGGTGGCCCTAGTGACACCCAGAATCCTTGGGAGAACAAAGCCTCCCCGGGGGCAGGGGACGCGTGGGATGGGAGGTAGACCTGGCTGGAGGTGCCTGGGGGGCTGGGGGCCTTTCGGGGTGGGGCAGGGCAAGGGTATGAGTCACTGCTGGGCTGCCAAAGCTCACTCTGCAGTTGTCCAGTCCCCTGGGGTGGCCCCAAGCCTGTCCTTGTAGGGAGTGGCAGCCGGAGTCCGAGCTGCCCTGGGGGACCAAGCAGGAGCTTAAGATGGGCAAGACCCAGTGTTCTAGGCAGATGCATTGAAGCAGGCAGAACCAGGCATGGTAAGCAGTCCGCCATGCAGGCCTGGGGCAGGCGCGTGTGAGTGTGAGCTGTGCCGTATGTGTGTGCATGTGCACAGACAAGAGCCTGGGCGTGCCTGTGCATGTGTGTGTGACTACACGGGTGTGGGCATGTGCTGTGTGTGTATATGTGCATATGTCAGTGTGTGCACTCACACACATGCACATATATGCATATACACTTATGCATATGTGCACCCCACACACATTTGCATGAGTGTATATGTGCATATGTGTATATGTGCATATGTGAGCGTGTGTATGTGCATGTGATCATGCAGTGTGAGTCATGCAGTGTGGGTGTGTGCTGTGTATGCATGTGTGTGTGCACAAGCGTGTGTATGCGCATGTGATCATGCAGTGTGTGAGTTCAGGTGCAGGCGTGTGTTTTGTGTTCATATGTGCATGTGTGTGACCATGCAGGTGTGGGTGTGTGCTGTGTGTGCATGCATGTGCTGTGTGTGCATATTGAGGGTGTGTATGAGCGTATGTGCGTGTGTGTGACCATGCAGGTGTGGGCGTGTTTTGTGTGGTAGGAGGTACAAGCTCCTGCCCTGGTGAGAGTCAGAGCAGGATGAGGGAGTTCCTGGCCTTCACGAAATCCTGGTACCCAGAACAAGCCCACCCAGAGTCCACTTGCCCCTCAAGCCTTCAGAGGCTAAGCTGGCTGCTGCTGGACCAGGAACCCTGACCCCTGTGCTTCATGGGCATCTGGGAGCCACTGTCCCTCCCCGACTCCCTGTGCTGAAGCTAGACACCTGCAGTCACTGCTTCCCCACCCCCACACAGCTGCCCAGGCTTGAGGCTGGTGTGCTCCTCAGCAGTCTGGCCCCCTCCAGCCCCAGGGCTGAGGTCCACCCTTCATCTGAGTTAAGTCTCCCAAAACTCCGGGTGCCCTGGAGGCTTTCCTCAGCCATGGTGCTCCCTTTGCAGGCCAGCAGGAAGACCAAGAAGAAGGAAGGGGGGGCCCTCCGGGCCCAGAGGGCATCATCCAACGTCTTCTCCAACTTCGAGCAGACTCAGATCCAGGAGTTCAAGGAGGTGAGACTGTCCTGCCTCACTGGGAGCCCCTGTCCTCACTTGGGGTGCTGAGGAGCTGGGAGCAGGGGGCAGGGGCCGGGCCAGCAGCACAGCAGCCCTGGCCTCGGTTCCCAGGCGTTCACACTCATGGATCAGAACCGAGACGGCTTCATTGATAAGGAGGACCTGAAGGACACCTACGCCTCCCTGGGTAGGTACCCAGGCAGAACACCTCAGCCCTTGAAGGAGGTGAACACAGAATGTCCTCCAGCCCCAGACGCCCTGGCCCCTCCTCGAGTGGATCCAGGGCCCTGAGGCTTCGAGGGGATGGCCCCGGCCTCCCTTGGTTCCATCAGACCTGGCAGCGAGCATCCCAGGGTGAGACAGGGTGGGTGGTATAGCCCACACCTGAAAACTTGGAGTGGGCTTTGGGCAGCTCCAGGGAGGGGCTGGTGCTCCGGTGGGAAGCCATAGGCAGCCAGGCAGCTTGCCCCCAAGCCGGACCACAGAGCTGACAGAGGGTGTGGGGACTCTGCTGGGCCAGATCACAGAGCTGGGGGTGGGGAGGGCCTGGAGACCCTGCCCAGCCAGACGCAGAGCTGGGGGGGAATGGAAACCATGTCCAGCCTCCGCAGCACAGCCCAAATATGGTGGGGACCCTGCCCTCCCCAGCCTCAGTTCTCCCTGTGGGATGTTCTCTTCCCAGCAGCTGCCTCTGGACAGAGGCAGTAGGGCATGAGGCTTCGGTCCTGCCCTGGGAGCTGGGGAGTGATTTCTTCTTGGGGTTGGAGGGTTGCAAGAGCCCCACTTTCCTCCCGGCCCTGCTTTCACCAAAGTAAGGAGAACAGCAGCTCCCAGCACCTTCCCGAGCTCTGTGTCACCTCCTTCTCCCTCAGTGCTTAGTCCTGGGGCTCAGGGTTTGGGGCAAAGTGAACACAGTCAGAAGCAACCCCTGCCCGACACGCCGGAGCCAAGCTCCTCCTTCCCACTCCCTGCCCACCCCTCCCATCTACCTGCCTGACCTGGTGCTGGAGTCACCTGCTGGGGGGACAGCAAATGCAGCAACAGGCCCTGCCCCATGACGCCCCCGAGTCTGTGACAGGCAAGACCAACGTCAAGGACGACGAGCTGGACGCCATGCTCAAAGAGGCCTCGGGGCCCATCAACTTCACCATGTTTCTCAACCTGTTCGGGGAGAAGCTGAGTGGTGAGCACCGGTGGGACAGGCCTTGCCCTCCTAGTTAATTCCTGGAAGCCAACAGCTGTGGGGCCCCATCAGCCGCATCAGAGCTGTTCACTCAGGCCCTCAGGCCCCCACTCCTGCCCCACACGCTGTCTGACCCACAATCGGGGACCTTGGTCACCACTCACCCCCAGCTCCAGGCCTGGGCTGACCCTAGGCACCATGAAAGTCATTAGACGCCAGGGCAGGAGTGCCCGATAAGACCCCCTAGGGGTCAGGAGTGGAGAAGGCCTTCAGGCAGAGGGCACCTTGTGGCAGAGGCTGGGAGTCCCGGGAGAAGGGGTCTGGCCTCCTGCCATCTGCCTTTGGCAGCCGCAGCAAGACTGTGACTCGGAAGCGCAGGGCTGAAGGCACATTTGTGGCAGGTACCGACGCAGAGGAGACCATTCTAAACGCCTTCAAGATGCTGGACCCGGATGGGAAAGGGAAAATCAACAAGGAGTAGTGAGTGTCCGGCTCGGGTACGGTGGCCCGGCCTCCGGGGGTCCCCAACAATCTCACCCTGCCCCAAAAGGGACAGTCAGCCACCAGACAACACGCCCACGTCTCCGCCTCTGACCAGCTTCAGGGTCACCAGGAGCAACCCAGGATCCCAGCTGAGTGGGTGGGACCAGCCTTGCCCGATGCAGCAACCAGCTGCCGGCCCCTGGGGGCACTTCCAAACAGGCCACTCCTCCATCTTCAGCTCCTGCCAGGTGCTGAGAATGTGCCAGGCACTTGCATGTAACTTCCCTCAGGCTCTGTCCCCATCAGTGGCCCCCAGGGGGGACCCCAGCAATGATGACCCCTGAGTGTGTCCTCTGAGTTCCCTCAGGCTCTGTCCCCATCAGTGGCCCCTCAGGTGCCCCTGCCCAGTAGTGATAATCCCTGAATGTTGTTGGGAAGGGACCTGCCTCAAGGCCACATTCCTGCGGGAAGGGTGGGAGTGCGGTGAGCAGATGGAGCGTGGGGGAAGGGCGGGAGTGCGGTGAGCAGGCGCAGCGTGGGGGAAGGGCGGGAGTG